GGTCCCCCTGGCCTGCCTGGTCTCCCTGCGTGTTCCCTCCTTGCTCCCCGTCCCCACGGCCTGCCCCTCTCACCGCGCCTGTGCCCCAGAATCTCCTGGACATGATGGTCGCAGAGGAGGAGAGCCTGAAGGAGCGTCTCTTGAAGAGCATTGCCCTGTGTCGGAAGGAGATTGACGTCCTCTGCAGGGAGCTCCAGCTGGACCCCTTTGAGGTAAGGCACTGCTGCGCACTCCTGGGGTCCAGCTGGCAACAGTTCTGCTGCTTGGCCTCTGCCCGGGGGTCTTGGCGAGGCCGGAGCTCACAATGCAAACGCTTTCACCAACACTTGGTAGAGCCGAAGGCTTTGTGGCTCCTAGTCGGGTGCTGGGAGATGGTTGTGAGGAGACCGGGGGTCTGGCAGCATCTTGTTTTGGGCGTTGCTGCTGCGTTTGCACCTTCTTGGGGAAACGCCTTGCTCAGAACTAGGGCTGGTGCCCCAGGTCTTCGTTTAAAAAGCCCAAACGTGCAAGTCAGGTCTGTGAGAGTTGTGAACGAGAGCGCTGATTTTTGGACTCTCGTAGGCAGAGGAAGAAAGTACCATTCTGCAGATGGAGAAGAATCTGCGGACCCACGTGGAGGTGATGCTGAAGCAGAAGAGGGACAGGAAGCAGGAGCTGAAAACCCTGCAGGAACGAGATCGGGACCTGTGTGACATCCTCTGCACCACCCCCTTCTGCATCGACAGCAACGCCGTGCCCAGCCTGGAGGACCTGGATCGCTACAGGTGCCACGTGGCCTCCCTGGTCGCCGAGAAGGTGAGCGGGAAAGGGCGAGGGTCCCGCCGCACGTGGCACGGGGGGGTGCTCCCTGGTTTCTAACGCTGCTCCTCGCCTCCAGGAGCAAAGGCGGGAAGCGTTTGTCAGCAGCAAGCGGCAAATCATCCTCCTCATGGAGGAGCTGGACCACACTCCAGACACCAGCTTCGAGCGGGACGTGGTGTGCGAGGACGAGGAAGCTTTCTGTCTGTCCGAGGACAACATCGCTGCCCTCCAGACCCTGCTGCAGCAGGTACGTCGGTGCTGCTGCTGGGGGGGCTCCCGGTGGGTCCGGGCAGCCCCTGGCGTCACGGTGTGAAGAGCGACGGCTCGGCTCTCGGCACGTCTGCCTGTTGGGGCGTCCTGTGGGAGCTTTACCCAGGAGACCGTGGGAGGTGGGCTTTGCTGGGCGCGGCGGAGCCAACAGCCCCCCTGCGGGGCCGGGCTGACCCTGTGCCCTCCCCCCTGCAGCTGGAGGCCCGGCGGTCCCTGAACGAAGCCGTGTGCGCGGAGCTGCGCTCCCGCATCGTCGCCCTCTGGGAGAGGCTGCAGGTTCCTGCGGAGGAGAGGGAGTCTTCTGCGGTGCACGCGACCGGGTCCAGAGCCAAAACCAGGAAAGCTGTAAGGACCCCCCTGTGCCCTTGGAGGGGGGGAGG